TTAAAATATATTTTATTGATTTTTTACAGAGAGGAAGGGAGAGGGATAGAGAGTTAGAAACATCGATGAGAGAAATATCGATCAGCTGCCTCCTGCACACTCCCCATTGGGGATGTGCCCGCAACCAAGGTACATGCCCTTGACCGGGATTGAACCTGGGACCCTTGAGTCCGCAGGCCGATGCTCTATCCACTGAGCCAAACCGGTTAGGGCCATCATTCTTTTTTTCTCCACTGTTTCTTGCTCTCATCCTCAGTAACTCCAGCACCTTTGGATACTTTGATCTTATAGTTCCTCAGCATGAGACCATTGACTTTCCTTTGTATTTTCAAACCGGCTACACATCAGAGTCACTACAACTTGGACCTTACCTATGATACTGCTTCCCCTTCATGTGCTCCCCATCACTTATTTTTGCCTCCTTACTAGTCACTTTTTTCACTACGTCACACCCACAGAGTCAGCATTTTGCCTTCCTTAGGTTCTCTGGTTCTTGACCTTTCCCATTTCATTGAGTCTTATCACTACCTTCAAGACTATCATTGATGCTGCCCTTGCTAGACCTCTATGACCAGCCACTTTGGTACTATCCTCATGGCTTTCTTCATTTGTTTTGATTTATACTAAGCAAGCACTTATGTTATTTTGAGTCATACTCATCAACTGTTTTCTTGGCTTCTGCTTCCAGGTCACAGCATATAGCTAGAAAAAAAGCACAGAAGCTAGCAGGTCCAGTATAATATAACCTAATGTTAACTTCTGCCAAGATCACAGTTTCACTCCAATTCTTCTTTCTTGGTTTGCTTACAGTCTACCATGGCCATTTCCCCAACCTTTTCTGGCTCTCTGTAACCTTCCCATTTATTTATTTATTTAAAAATTTTAAATAATTTTTTTTATTGATTTCAGAGAGAAAGGGAGAGGGAGAGAGAGAGAAACATCAATGATGACAGAGAATCATTGATCGCTGCCTCCTGCATGCCCCCCACTGGGGATCAAGCCCGAAACCCAGGCATGTGCCCTTGACTAGAATCGAACCTGGACCCTTCAGTCCACAGGCCAATGCTCTATCCACTGAGTCAAACTGGTGAGGGCTGTAACCTTTCCTTTTAATTCTCCCTCTTTTGGCAGATGACCTCACTTTCTATTTCATTGAAAAATCAAGGCCTATCATTTCTGTTTCTTTCCTGTCCACAGTTTGATTTCTTGAATGTCAGTTCTATACATACTATTTCCATTTCCTCACTGCTTAAGAGTTTCCTTAACTCTTTACAGTTTTTACTTTTAGCACCAACCTCTCTCCTGAGTTGCCAATTTCCTTTTGTAATTGTTTGGTAAATAGCTTTCATTCATGGATAGATATACTGTCATACTTCAAATACAATCTGACCAAAATCAATATCAGTTTTTTTTCCTTATTTCTGTTAAAGGCACCATTGTATTAGCCAACCAAAGATCAACTTTTTTTGCATTCTCTCCCTCTTTCTCTCCTTAAAATTTTATTTTCTTCTTAAAACTTTAAATAGACTTTATTTTTTAGAATATTTTTAGATTTAGAGAAAACAGTTTTCTAAAATTTTTACTTATTGATTTCAGAGAAAGAGAAAAACATTGACTTGTTGTTCTGCTTATACATGCACTCAGTGGCTGCTCCATGCATGAGCCCTGACCAGGGATCAAACCTACAACCCTGGTGCATTGGGCCAATGCTCCAACCAACTGAGCTACCTGACCAGGGCCTAGATTTATAGAAAATTTGAGAAGATGATATAGACAATTTCTATATGTACCTTACATTCAGTTTCCCCTATTATTAACATCTTACATTAATATGGTACCATTATTGCAATTAATGAATCAATATTGATACATTATTATTAAAACCTATATATTATTCAGATTTCCTTACTTTTTACCTAATTTCTTTTTTCTGTTCCAGGATTCCATCCAGGACACCATATAACATTTAGTTCTCATGTCTCCTTAAGCTCCTATTGGCTGTAACAGTTTCTCAGACTTTCCTTGTTTTTGATGACTTTGACATTTTTAGGAGTACTGGTCAGGTATTTTGTAGGATACCCCTGTATTGCAATTTGTCTGATGTTTTTCTCATGATTAGACTGGAGTTATGTGTTTTTGGGGGGATTAACCATTGAGGTAAAGTGACATTTTCATCATATCATGTCAAGGGTAAATAGTATCACAATGATTTTTTACTGTTGATATTGACCGTGACCACCTGGCTAAGGTTGTTTGTAAGGTATCTCCACTGTAAAAGTGACTCTTTTTCCCTGTCCTTTTCATACTGTATTCATTAGAAGAAAGTCACTGTTCATACTTTTTTTTCATTTTTTAAAAAAATTTTCAATGACAGTTAACATTTAATATTATATTAGTTTCAGGTGTAGAGCATAATGGTTAGACATTTTTATTTTTATTTATTTTTATTTTTTTAAATATATTTTATTGATTTTTTACAGAGAGGAAGGGAGAGAGACAGAGAGAGTTAGAAACATCGATGAGAGAGAAACATCGATCAGCTGCTTCCTGCACATCTCCCACTGGGGATGTGCCCGCAACCCAGGTACATGCCCTTGACCGGAATCGAACCTGGGACCTTTCAGTCCGCAGGTCGACGCTCTATCCACTGAGCCAAACCGGTTTCGGCAACATTTTTATAACTTACACTGTGATCCCCCAATAATTCTTGTACCTACCTGACACCATATACAATTATTACAATTTTATTGATTATATTTCCTAAGCTGTACTTTACATCCCATGACTATTGTGTAACT